AATGCTACTTGTATTTCCCAACAAACTTAAAAACAACTAAGGTAAACAATTAGGGTAATCAACAAACTTCAAAACACAGCCACACAGGTATATCCCAACATAGATATATTCAACAAACTTCAAAGCATATAACAAAACTACATTGCTATAATAGTGCACAAACTTCATAATAAACTCCACGATTTCATCATTAACATCAATAAAAAGTTGCAACCAAACAAAAATGAACGTACCATGGGTAAGAAGCAAATTCAATACCCTTACATTGAGAATAAGAGTATAATAACATCTGAAAACTATTACATTTTGTTCACAATAAAAGTTGCAACAACGAATTTGACAAGTACTTGCCACATCCTCTTCTAGAATAGCTTCTCTTTAGCTTCACTTTCAACAACCAGTTTGATGCTTTGTATATCACGTTGGATAGCTAACATCAACCTCTTCAGCTCATGAATTGAGGATTCTTTGGAGCTAGTAACCCCTATGAGATCCTTCATTTTCTTGATGGAGACATGGTAGATCTTCTTTCTATAAAATTACTTGCACCTCAACCCCTCCTAAAATCACATATGTTTGTATTAAACAACAAATAAAACACAAATGAAACCCAATTTTTTAAATTTATACCTTCCACAAAGAATACACGCACCCCAACCCCTCCTAAAATCAGAGATTTTGTATTAAACAATAAACAAAATAAACAATTCAAACCTAGTTTTTAGAATATATATACCCTCCACAAAGAATACCCGCATCCAGAAAAGCCCAAAATCATAAAATTTTGTATTAACCAACAAACATAAGACACAATGGAAAACCAAATTTACAAATTTTTACCTTCCATCTTTAGCATCCATAAAACTGCAGCCACTTTCCCGTGTTGTACATAAACGAGCTTAAAAAATGTACACACACACAGTTGGGGTCATAAGCAGTCATCTTCAGTTTTCTTCCAAGTGAAGATGAAGATGATCCAGACATGTCTTTCTATCTTTTAGCCTTCCTTGGTCTCCACTAGACGTATAAGGTTGGAGTAATTAATGAGTCATCATTAAATAGATGGTATAACCTTCTCACTAAGCGTGTAAGGGGAGTAAACGGGAGCTTACCGGATAAATGCATGGATCGAACTATTTAATACAGTTAGTGGGTCGGGTCGGAGCATTTTTAGGTTTGGGGTGCAAATTGAGCAATTCGTATAGGTACAAGGGCATGTTTGACCCTTCAGTCTTGTAAATAAAACATGGGATCATTATTCGTGACAAATGTCTTTTAGTGATTTAATGTACCATATATTGAAAATGGAAAAATGTAAGATAAAACATAATATTGAAATATACAATGGCTAACTCAGACACATTTAGGAAAATAAAAATTTAGAGATGTATTTGTACTCAAACGAACTTGAAATATCAATTTGTACGATAATTTACATACAACAATTGTTAAAACCACTTTAATTTACAGTTTTTTGTGGAATACAGGTATAAACAACTTTTGCCTCCATCGGGACAAAATAAGTTTTTCAAAATGACATCATTTTACCCAATAATTTGTGATTCCTAAGTAATGTTCTAAAAGGTGTCACAAGGTGGAATCTCGACGAGCCTAGATGTGTGGTAGCGGGAAAATGCTCCATCTAGTTGAAGTAGTGGAAAAAGTAGTTAATTTAAGAGATAATTACCCCTCATATGACTAAAAGATGACATCTTTCTCAATCTATGACTCATATTTTTTTTCCTTAAAATGATGGCTTCTGTCATGTATCCATACGATCGGACATATCATATCTATTATTTAGTTCCAGATTTACCCTTCAATTGAATACCACATTTAAAAACAAAAAAGGTAGGTTCCATATAATTGGTACGTATAATACTCCGCTGCCCATCCATAGCAATTGATCAATTACAGAAGGTAAGCTCTGTATCCATTAACGATTCATGTTCATCTCTTATCCATTGACAACAAAATTCTATAGTTTTTGAGATATTATAGATGCTTGTCTGCCGCCATCGTCCAGTCGTGACACCACCGTCCAACGCCATCATCCAGTCCCGCAACCGTCGTCCAGCCACGCGCTTGCTCGCCGCCGTCGCCCAGCCGCACGCTTTCCCTGCTGCCATCGCTAGACATGTGCACCACCACTGTCCTGATCTATGGGCGGCGGCGCCATCCCTAGTCATGGACGCCGCCGTTCCAATCCATGCGCGCCGCAGCCATCATGGTCCATGCGTGCCGCCGCCCAGTCGCGTTCCTCCGTCCCTGCGCCAACCTATAGCCGCAGCCTAACCACGCACCTCTATCCCAATCTTGCCGCCGCCACCCATCCATCTGCCTCCATACTCATTATTTATTTTCTTCAATTTTTGAAATAAGTAGGGTTTTGGACATTAAACATGGACTGTAAACATAGACGGTGAGCATGAATATGGCAATAAATATGATTGAGTATGGGAAATGAATATGAAAATATATAATGTTGTATATTGGCAATGAAGAAATGCATTGGCGAAGTGTCTAGCTTGTGTAGTGAATGGGAGGCAATATATCGTGCCATAGAAAGTGCAGTGATTATGACAAGTAATGCACTGATGTAAATCAGTATCACCAGCATGAAATGTAATATATTTAATTAGACGTAAAATACTGAAAGTATTAAATCTAAAAAAAGAACTATAAATAAATTCCTAAAGTGACTAAGAAGAGAACTAATGTTGGCGGAAGTGCGATAATGTCATGCAGTAATGTGGCGCAGTAACTGCAGTATAAAGTGCAGTATTTTTAATTGAAAAAAAAAGTGTACTGATATGCACTAAGTAGTAGTGCATAAATGTATATTTTTATGATTGATTTGTGTGTATTGTTTACCGTTTTATTTAGTTTGTAAACATTTGTGTGAATTTAGTTGTAATTGTATTTTAACATTCATTTATTAGTTGTAAAGTAGAATTAGGAATTATGGTGTTGAAAAGGAGGACTTTGAAGTGAAGAAAAAGGAGATTGGACTATCCAGGAGCTGAAACCCGACCGGGTAGAAGACTTCACCCGGTCGGGTCTGATTCAACAACCGAAAGTGCCTAGAAAGTGCATTCACCCGGTCGGGTCCCCTACCCCACCCGGTCGGGTCTGACTTGACCCGAGACACTTTAACATGCTGAAGATCACCAGAACGTGGAGGATATTTGATTTTGACATGCACCCGGTCGGGTGGGCACTTTACCCGGTCGGGTACCTGGCCAAAGGTGTTGTAAAACACCTATAAATAGCCCCATTTTCCTTCACTTAAAGATATCCCTTCTTCCATACTCTTAAGCTGAGTTTAGAATAGTATTTCTTTATATTTTTTAGCTATGTTTAGTCTCCAAATGAGGAGCTAAACTTCCTTTCTTGGTGTTGCTCTTGAAGCTTGTTGATTATTAAAGTTGTGAGTTATTTTCTTAACTTCTTTCCTTGAATATTAATTATTAGTTCTTTCCTTAATACTATCTCTATATTAATGTTGAGGAGTGTTGCTAAGATGACAATTAGCTAACATCTTGACATTAGTTATAGTAGTATTTTCTTCCTCTATATTAATGTTGGGGAGTGTTGCTAAGATGACAATTAGTTAACATCTTGATATTAATTATAGTAGGATTCATCTTCTTTAATAATATTCTTCCTTGAATATTAATTAATTCCTATTCATATTTCATATTAATATTTTGAACATTACTTAAAGGATCAACTAGTTTTGTTTCATATATTAATTATTACTAGAAACGTACAACGAACCGATGGTTAATCGTTGATGGTTTCACAAGTAAGTAACTTCGGTTTATTAATGCACGGTCGTGGTTAATAAACTTAAGAGGGATTAATTTTGTTGGTTAAACCGAAATCGTTGTGCTGAGGTTATCAATCTCAATTGATTTCATCAAGGAGTTAGAAAGATTAAATGCTACTATTAAATCGGTATGAGGCGTTGTTCTATATTTGATTAATAGTAAGAGTTATTAATGAACGGTCGTTGTTAATAACTACCCTCGATGAAGTGGATATACTCCCCGATTGAGTATTCGAGAGGGAATAAGTTATAGATATAACAATGATCGACTAAAATATATCATTTAGTGGAAAGTAGCAATGTCAAACCCTTTTTATCTTTGAATTAAACACATATAGGTTGTTCATCTTAGTTCTTAATTAAATTAAACCACTCAATCCAAATCCCCCCTTTTATTTACTAAGTATCATAAAAAGAGAATTATTCTTTTCCCTGTGGATACGAACTCTACTACGCTATACTATGTATAAGTGTTGTATGATAAATTATTTTGAGTGCACCTCACGACAAGTGCACGTCATGTACAATGCACATTTTTTAAATAAGAGTATTTTGGTCATTAAACATTTTAATATGAATGGATTTTTTTGTTGTGATGTTATTTGGTAATTTAGGGCTAATTTGTTTGAAATCCTTCCTTTATTGAACTTCTTAGAAAACGTGCTATGACTCTCTAACTACTAAAATTACGGGATCTTCAAATGGATAGTTTTCTATACATATGCCTACTGCACGCTACTGCCCGTTTTATTTAAGACTATATTGGTCTTTTATTGGTCAAGTTTTTACTATGATCGTTCTTTGCATAGTCATACATTAGGAAATAAACATTAGAGGTCATATATTGGGAAATCTCTTAACTTGTAGTCATACATACGTAATTACCCCTTAATTTAATAGCTGACCGTCAAGGAACTTAAGAGGCATAAACTTAGGCTTAAAATATGAAGCCCGTATTGGAACATAATTTGTGTATTAATTGTCAATGATTATCTGTACGCATTATCTCTTCCTTGTTCATAGATTAGTTATCACATATGTAAATATTATCTCCTCCTATTTCATAGCTGTCAGTTAGCTACGCACGTGATACGGTGATCTTATCACCTCAACTAATTCCATGTATAAATACACATGTGTACAGCCATTAATATACATCAAGAATACATTTCTCTTCATGGTATCAAGAGCCTCACTTTAAAAAGCTATTTTTTCGATCCAGTTTCCCTCTTCCGTCATGAGTTTGATTATCACTCCTGACATGGGTGTCATCACCCTTACTGCCTCTACAAACTTTCCTATCAAACTTACCTCCGGCAATTTTCCGGTTTGGAAGTCCCAGGTGCATGCTGCCCTGGTTGGTCTCGGACTTGAATCCTTTGTTGATGGCACTGTCCAGATCCCGTCCCAATTCCTCGATGAAGACAAAACACAGCCCAATCCGTGCTATACTACCTGGTTTCGTCAAGACAAAACAATCCTAAGTGCCCTCCTCGGTAGCTGTTCAGATACAATCCATCCGGTCATCTCTTCCGCCGCTACTGCTCAACAAGCATGGCAAAAGTTGGCCCTTACTTATGCCAGTATGTCTAGGGGTCGTATTATTGCCCTTAAAACTAATCTGGCACGCACGAAGAAAGGCTCTCGTTCCATTCAGGAGTACCTTTCTGAGATGTACGCTATATAAGAAGCACTTGCTCTTGCGCAGAATCCGATTTCCGATGAAGACTTGGTTATCAATATCCTGAATGGACTTGGAGCTGAATATAGTGAGCTTACCTCTGACATTCGTGTCCGCTCAACATCCCTTCCGGTGGCTGAACTCCAAGACATCCTACTAGAACATGAGACCAGACTTCAAGAAGCAGCCACCTCTGCCAACTCCCTGCTTCCGACGGCTAATGCCACACAAAGTACTGATCGATCTTATGGTGCTTATGATCGTCGTCGCCCTTCTGCCAATGAACGACGTGGCAATGCTTCTGGCCGGGGTCGTGGTGCATCATATTCCGGTGCGTCTATAACTCACACCGGCCATACGTCTATTCTCACACCCACACGTTCCTTAAGTTTATCAAATGTCTTATGTGTTCCCAAACTTCACAAGAATTTAGTTTCCGTAGCCAAATTATGCAAATCTAACTCAGTTTCGGTTGAATTCTTTGCCTCTCACTTTATCGTTAAGGACCGAGCCACGGAAGTGCAGTTAATGCGCGGGGAGAATTTTAACGATGTCTACTATGCACCCACTTTCCGGTCGCCACAAGCTCATGTCACCCAAGCAGTTCGTTCCCCACCTTGGCATCACATTTTGGGCCATCCTTCTCATCGAGTTTTTAATACGTTAGTTCATCAAAATAAACATATGTTTCCATGTCATGTGTCTGACATTAGTCATTGTACTTCTTGTTCAATCAATAAAAGTGTTAAGTTACCGTTTTTTACAAATTCCATGAATGCAAGTCGGCCGCTAGAATTAATATATTCTGATGTTTGGAGTACCTCGATTTGTCAATTGAGGGTCACAAATACTATGTCATTTTTGTGGACTTTTACACCCGCTATATCTGGTTGTACCCCCTTAAACAAAAATCCGAGGTTTCTATTATATTTCCCCAATTTCACCGACTCGTTGAAATTTTTTTTAATTTATCCATCATTTCTCTCTTTTCCGATAATGGTGGTGAATATATCAAACTTAAAACTTACCTTAATACCCATGGCATTTCCCATTTTACCTCTCCACCCCACACTCCAGAGCATAATGGTTTAGCTGAACGTCGGCATCGTCACATTGTTGACACCGGTCTATTCCTACTCCACTTTTCTGGTTTACCCATTACTTATTGGCCCTATGCCTTTCAAACTGCAGTTTATCTCATTAACTGTCTCCCTACCCCAGTTTTAAATAATGACACGCCCTACTTCCGGTTACATCACAAATACCCCAATTACAAAAAATTACAACCGTTTGGGTGCTTGTGTTATCCATGCCTTCGGCCGTATGTATCTACCAAAACCCAACCCCGGTCTCTACCTTGTATTTTCATTGGTTACTCTACCTCTCAGTCGGCCAACATGTGTCTCGATTCCATTTCTGGTCGTGTATATATCTCTCGTCACGTCCGATTTATTTCTTACATATTTCCGTTTCGCCCAGACTGTTCTGAGTCCTATTCGTCACCAATGTCATCTCCAACCCATGCACACCTAATAAAGCTCCTTTGGTATCCCCTTTTGGTGCAAATCTCCCTGTACGACAACTCACTCCCCCATCTACTTCTAATGACTCATCAACCCCATCAATTCCCATTGTCCCTCCACAATCCACCTCATTACCCACCTACACTTTACCCACTAATACTCCTCCACCGAATTCCCAATCTCAAAACCCTAATAACTCAACCCCGGTCCCACCAAATTCTATAGTCAGCCCACATTCCTCCTCCCCCCACCTTTAACTGACACTACTATTCCAGCTAGCCAACCTACGTCCAATCCTTCTTCCCAAATCCTGGTACGACCTCCTCGCCTCCGTAAACCCAACTCCAAGTATCTTGGAGGCCCGTTTATCAATCATACTACCCAACACCCTATCCCATCCACCCTGGAACCACCCAATGTCAAACTTGCCTTAGGCGATCCCCGGTGGAAGGCTGCTATGGATGCTGAATTTGAGGCCTTACAACGAAATAATACTTGGGAACTTGTCCCTCGTAGCTCTCATAAGCCTATTTCTTGTAGGTGGTTATTTCGTGTGAAGCGTCATGCGGATGGAAGCATTGCTCGCTTTAAGGCCCGTCTTGTGGCCCGGGGATATCAGCAACAGCCCGACCGAGATTACTCCGAGACATTTAGCCCCGTTACAAAACCGGCAACAGTTCGTCTCATAATTACACTTGCTCTCTCACGTCAATGGGAACTTCGACAATTGGACGTGAACAATGCCTTTTTACATGGGTCTTTATCTGAGGAGGTTTACATGACTCAACCTCCGGGCTATGTGGACAGTCACTATCCTACCCATGTGTGTTGTCTCCGAAAGGCGTTATACGGTCTCAAACAGGCCCCACGCGCATGGTATATGGAATTATCTCAGTTTTTAATCTCTGTGGGTTTCCGTAAGTCCCGGGCAGATACGTCGTTGTTCATCTATTCTCATGCTGGTACTACTCTTTATTTTCTAGTATATGTGGATGATATTGTTAATAGAGTAGAATTAATTATGTATTAATTATTAGGCAGTATCCTAATTGTATTTGGAGACTTATTTCATTATAAATATACAGTCAGGGCTACCAGTCTGGTTAAGCCTGTTTATTATTTCCACATGGTATCAAGAGCCCTAGAGTTTCTTTAAGTTTTTTTTTCCGATCCTATGGCATCAACGCCCGCCACTACCGCCGCAGTCGCGCCACCTTCCACGGCAGCGCCGGCGGTCATCCTACCGGCATCATCCGCCACGATGATGGCTCCGCTCAGTCTCTCTTTTGGCGCCAGTTCATCTGTTATGCAGCCTATCTCAGCAGCCTCGTTACCTTCAACCTTTGACTGGTCGACTCCACCGGTTTTCGATTGGTCGTCTCCGGCAGGCCGTCCCCGTCCTAGGCCAGATGCCGTTCTCCAGCCAGAGCGTTTTGAATCCCGTCCACAGTATGCTGGCCATACGTTTTCCGGCTCGCCAGGTGTCACGTCGCCACCAGTGGTTCGGCCGGCTGCTCCTCGACAGCCTGTTGTTTCGTCTGGATCGGCACTTGAGGCTATTGTTCAATCCATGGGATTTTCTACTCCAAATATTACTAATATTGTTACAACAAGGCTTGATGCGGTTGAAGACTATCTACCCTGGAGAACTCAGTTTGAATCCTTTTTGGTTTCTCATGGATTATTGGGCTTCCTAGATGGTACAATTCCTGCTCCTCCTCCTTATATACTTGATGCTCTTCGTAGGGAGGTAACAAATAATGATTATTTTTACTGGCTAAAGTTAGATCAAACAGTCCGTTCTTGGTTGTTTGCTACTTTATCTCGTGATATACTTGTTGAAGTTCATACATTAAAAAATTCTTTTACCATCTTGGAACGTCTGGAATCACGATTTATGGCTGCTAGTTTAGCGCGTTCCATGGAATTAAAACGATTAATGAGTAATTGCAAAAAGAAAGAAAATCAGACCATGGAACAATACATGCGTGAGATCCAAAAGATTGCAGAAGCTCTCGCCGCCATTAATTCACCAGTACCTATGAAAGATCTTCTTGAGCAAACTCTACTTGGTCTTGGTCCTGAATATGAATCCATGATGACAACTCTGACCACCTTCCCGGAAGGACTCACGTTTGAGAAATTACGCATTAGATTGATCGAACAGGAGCATCGCATTCAATACCTCCGTTCTCAGGACACTGTCCCTTCGCCCACTGAATTTGCGGCGCAGCAGCCGCCTCCAGCTGGGAACGGGCAGGATAATCGCGGCCAACAAGCTCGGGGCCGTGGTGGTCGCGGGAACCGTGGTCAGCGAGGTCGGGGCAACCGCGGCAGAGGCCGTGGCTATGGCCAGCAGCCAGGTTATGCAGCCAATCCGCCATACCCTTATCAGCCGAGGCCTGGATCCGCAGCACAGGGCGGCTACTTTCAGCCGGGATATTTTCCTTTTCCACCGGCAGGTGCACCTCCACAGGGACAATCAGGTACAACACTTTGTAATTCAGTTTTTTCATCGTCCAATACGCATCCCTATTTTGTTATTGGTACTAACCACAGATTTGCAGGCTCACCCTTAGCTGATGGACAGTTTGGTTCTATTTCCCCGCCAGTTGTATGTCAAATTTGTTATTCTCCAGGTCATTCTGCTGTCTCCTGTCCGTCTCGTTTTAATCAGCCGGCTGCCCCTACTCTTGCTGCACCTATGAGTGACCAAAATGACGCTGTCTGGTTTCCAGACTCCGGTGCTTCTGCGCATATGACTCATCAGGAAGGTATTTTAGCTAATAAATCTATTTATTCTGGGCCACTTGCTGTTACTGTAGCTAATGGAACTAATCTACCCATTAAAAATATTGGTGATATCTCTATTAATTCCTTGTCAAAGCCTCTTCATTTAAGATCTGTTTATAATGTCCCTCAAATTAAATATAATTTGCTTTCTATTCACAAGCTGTGTTCTGACAATAATGGCATGGTTATTTTTGATAAAAACTCTGTTTTGATTAAGGACAAAATCACGGGGGTGGTCCTTCTTCAGGCTTCCAGTAGCGGCAATCTTTATCCCATTCATTTTTCTCCATCACCACCATTGGCTTTGTCCTCTAGCGCAGCACCTGGACCACTCTGGCATCGTCGGTTGGGACATTGTGGCACTAGAGTTTTAGATGGTCTTAGAAAGTCAGGTCAACTTAGCAGTCTTACTTCTTTTAATCATGATTGTACTTCGTGTCGTTTGGGTAAATCTCAAAGATTACCTTTTCAAGATGTTTTTCATACTGCTAATAAACCATTGTTTTTAATACATTCTGATGTTTGGCAATCTCCTGTGCTTTCATCTTCTAGTTTCCGGTATTATGTTGCCTTTATTGATGATTATTCTCGTTTTACGTGGATTTATCCTATGCGTCGTAAAAGTGAAGTCTTCACACATTTTCAATCTTTTAAATGTCTGGTGGAAAATTTATTGGATCATAAAATTAAAATTTTTCAAAGTGATGGAGGGGGTGAATTTGATAATTCAAGTATGCGGTCATTTTTTAATACTCATGGCATTCTTTTTCGAAAATCCTGCCCAGACACCCCTCAACAAAATGGTCTAGCTGAACGAAAACATAGACATCTTCTTGAGTTAGCTAGAACCATGTTGATTGATGCGGGCCTACCAGCAATTTTTTGGGTAGAGGCTGTTTTAACTGCTACTTTTATTATTAATCGTCTACCCTCTACTAAATTTACTGGTTTTTCGCCGTACCAAAAATTATTTCACCGGACTCCAGACTTCTCTTTTATGCGTGTTTTTGGATGTGCTTGCTATCCCAATTTTTCTGCTACTTCGGCCAACAAGCTCTCTCCACGTTCCACTCAATGTGTTTTTCTAGGCTATGCATCGGAATACAAGGGCTATCGTTGTTTAGATCCCAGGACAAATAGGATTTATGTCAGTCGTCATGTTCGTTTTCATGAGAATATTTTTCCGTATGCTGCCTTGGTGTCCCAACAGTCTTCTCAGCTTACCACATTGCCATCATACCCTCTGTCTTCCTCTCCATTATCCTCTAGTGCTACTAGACAGCCACCGCCTCTTCCATCTTTCTTACCGGTCTCCCGCAACTCGTCCTCAGTATCTGCTTCCCAGACAGTATCTTCGTCCCCGGTTGCTCCAGATACGGCGCCGGTTGGTTCCAGCAGTACACCGACAGCTGGGGATGCCTCGGTAACCAGCTCGCCGGCGCTACCTAGCTCACCGGTGCATACTGCCCAGTCGGATCTCTCATCGTCTGGCAGTGAGGATGATAGTGCGAGTCCGGTGTCCCATCCGTCCTTGATCCAAAATATTCATCCCATGCAAA